ATTCGAATGACGCCCGACTCCTCTTGAACCAGACGATTGACCGGCAGGCGGCGCAAGGCAGCGAGGAAGGCGAGCTCCAACACGCCCTTCTGAGATTGCCAGACCTCTGCGGCTGCTCGCGCCCAAGCGAAATTCTGATGTACCTTGGCCACCATTTGAAGTCGGGGGAATGATGGGGAGGAAGAGATTGCTCCATGGCTTCAGTAAGGGGGGGGGGGACGTTGGTATCGAATGCGAAATGATGATGTGATGCGACGCGATGACAAGACGCTCGAGGCGAGTTAAAACTGGGAGGAACCGGGAGCAGGAAATGGCAATGGCGATCCGAGACTTTGGGAGATGGGACTTGTGGACGGAAGGAGTGGAGTGAACAGGCCTTCCAGGTCGTGGTCTACCTTACCCATGTCACCTTCCGCCCAACCCAAAAAATGGTGAGGCCCAATCAGTTGTTCTTGCCCAAACTGCACGACGTGAACACTGTGTGAGGTACTGATGGGAGGCTGTAATTGTTGTAGGACCCGTCCCGTAGTGTAAAGCTCCCGAATCTGGCGTTGGTGCCTGCCCGTCTGATCCATGCCCACGGGAATGGAAGCCGTTGGTGTCATGAGACGGACCCCAACACCTTCCAGATCTTCCAAGACCCATATTGCACTAGCGTCGATCTTGATCCCTGCACTGGGCTTGTGTGTCACCTGCATCTACACCTGCCCACTACACCCAGCGGCTGCCTCGTCCACATCGTAGTGCTGTTTGGTTGCCCTGCCCCACAGCTGTGGCGAACGCACCTTCCTGGGAAGGAGTGCAGGTCGAAGATCGAAAAACCACCACCAAAAGTTTCGACCTGCATCATGTTCATGCCAGCAACCCACCGCACCAATTGAGCAACTACCGATTCACGCGCTAGAATCAGCAGGTGGTCAGTGGTAGCCTGAGGAAAGCCCCAGGGTCAAGCATGGCGACAACATGTTCATACACGCATGCTCCCACGCATAACGAGAAGAGCGAGGATTCTTGAGAAGTGTTGCCGCGCGAGGGAAGAAGCAGTGGCGCAAAGATAAACAGCTTCCACCCAGCGCGAAGAAGACGACTTCGACGTCGAAGCTGCAAACCTGGCCATCATCGAGAAGAAGCTCAGCCCCGTCACCCAGTACTCGGTAGGAGAACCCATCCATGCATCCCAAGTCTGCTCATTTCGTTCAGTTCTCTGCTAGCGCAAGAGACAACCGAAACAGGCCATGGCGAACCAACGCAGCGGCGGCCACCTCTGGAACGTCAGGCGGGTGGACCGCGCCATGCGAGCCCGCCGGCTCCGTCGTTTCCACGCGCATCTCGAGACGGCCCAGCCCGCGAGACCCGACCTGCTAGATCGCTTCACCAACGTGGTGCTCGGCCAAATCGACGCGCTCCTCGACGACGCAGATTGCCGCCACGTGCCGGTCGGCTCGGAAGAAGCTGTCTTCCAGCCCAATTGGGAGAAGACGGTGCGCTCGCTGACGCGCCAGCTGGCTTATGTGAAGAAGTGGTGTACCTGCCGAAAAGAAGGCGCAGGAGGGAGCGGGAGAAGAGCCCCGAAGGCAGGAGGAATCCTCGACCCGACCTGAGGGACTGCATGCTGACCATAACAACAGGCCTCCTCTCACGCCCGACGTTCGGTCGGCCGGCCCCAGCGGCAAGATACCCGAAGTTGTCACCGAAACCTCCCGCTCTGTCGCTCCGAACACCGCCGCCGTCGAGCCCAGACTGGCAGGCCCACCACCACGCCGAACGGACGGAAGCCCCTCGTGGGGGGCGCTATCGCCGCTACCAAGACGCTGTTTTCCACACACACACACATACAGCCTGCCGCCGCGCCCCTGTCCACCTTTACCACCCCCTCCCGGCCTATCTTGATAGAGCCACGTCTCCCGATCCGTCCGGCCACAGCTCCCGTCCATCTCCCTGTCGCGGCTCCCACCCATGCCATTAGCAGCACCCAGCGTCTCGCCTCGCCGCAGCCACCGCACGAACTCGATGCCAACACCACCACGGCGGCAGATGCCCCTCGCAACGCGTAATACGACCTCACCGAGGAGGAAAAGACCAAGCTGAGAGCCGAATACGCAAAACAGCAGGCCCGCTACACCGAGATGTACATACAGTGTCTGCACGCGGAGAGGAACGCGTCGCAGCGAAAGTGCGAGGTGGAGCGAGCGCGCGCTTGCAGCGGCCGAGAATTCAATCAAGGAGACGGACGTGGCCAAGGCCGCGTATAATGCCGACGCGGTGGGAAGATTCACATCCACGTATGAGGCATGGGAGAAGGCGGATAAGGAGTTTGCGGATGAGGCGAAGGCTGCAGAGGCAGCGGCTCGCGTTTGAGGCGTGGCAGATGCATAAACACTGGATTGGTATTTGAAGGAAGAGCTCGAAGAGTAAGGTGGGTTTTAATGCTCGTTCTTACGAACTGGGGGTCTCAAGCTGTTCGGCATGTCCAAAGGATTGACGACGTTGCAAGATAAGTAAGGCCTTTCGCACCTGCGTTTCGCCCCGGCGACGATACTTGTGTCTTACTGTTTACTTAGTCTCGGGCCCCAGTTCAGAGCCGTTGCTTCGTCAACGTTGACTCGGGCTCTGACGATTGAATAAGCAGTGGAGTGCGGAGACAACACGGCGTGGCCGCTGCACTACCGGATCTGGCAAATCTGCTGCACGTCCAGCGCATTAGCCACACTCACCGCCACCGTTCTCAGACGAGTTCCAGGGAACAGTTTGCACGTTCCCCAATCCATTGCAGGCCGCACTTGACTTGACCGTTGCCGTGCGAAATTACTTCGCACCGATCTTTGAGGCAATGCGAACAATCGCCAGCGTGGGATATTGAAGCTGGAGGTTCTGAATGCGGCTGCCCCTGCGACATGCGCTCCCCAGGTGTCGACCAGCTCGCCATGGCCGTCGCACACCCCCACCCTTGGCGAGTGTGCAATGCGGACGGTGCCGACGTGGTCCGGGATGCGACGGCAGGACAACTGCCCATTCATGACGAATCAATCGAGCCAATCAGTCAACTGATCAATAGGTCCAAAGGAGGTCACTTGGGGGTTCAATCAGCCAAGACGATAATGCCCTCGTTTGGCTGTTTCAATCAAGCAGAGGGCCCGTCTGGAGGCGTTCCGGACCAGATGGGGCCTGGAGCCGAGCCCGCCGACTTGTGGGTACAGCCCCGCAGTGCGGTTTTGAACGCCGCGCGGAGCCGGGCACAAAGACCCATTCCCCCCGGCTGAAAAGAAAAGATACCGCGTGACGGCCTTGAGTACATCTGTGCCTTTGGCCAAGCAAAATCAAAACTAACAAGCGAATCAATCAGCCAAATTTAGCCCCTGCTGTTGACCTGATTTGTTGCTAGGCAGCGCTGTGCGGAAGTGGCGTGCATGATCCAGGTCGGCCTCTGACAAGCGACTGGAGGCGGCCTTCCTCGCGATGATCCCGTAACTGACCGCTGGGCCCGTTCTGGTATTCGCAGCCACGGAGTGCTTCGCTAAGTACTACGCGGGCATCCTGCCGCTCGCCGTCGTGCCGTCACATATCGACTACCCGCCCTTGGACTTCTACCAACTGTGGCACGACAGTGCGCATGTCTCGCCGTCGGACCGTTAGCTGTGATATCTGGCTGGCACGTTGCGTGGTCAGGCCGGTGCAGCTACAGCCGCGCCAGCTTCCGCGCCGACGCAATCGGGTCCACGGACCGCCCGGCCTTGACGAGCACCCAGCCCGCGCGCTCCTCGCCGAACTCGAATTCGACCTGGAGTGCCTGAAGTACGAGTACCCGTATGGGATTTCGTGGCTCTGCGAGACCTATGCTGAGGCCTTGCGCCGCATGGTGGCGGAGGGCGCGCGGTCACCGAAGGCCGAATTCCTCACCGTGCATGCCATTGTCAAGGCGGCGCGGGAGAAGCCCAGCATCCTCTGCCAGGGCAGCGGCTCGGCGGCGAACTGGGCCTTTCTGAGGACGCAGTCTCGGCTTTCTCCGGCTCCTCCGGCTCGGCCTAGGGCAACCAGTCGACCGACCTCAGGGCCCGCGAGGGGCAGACACAGTGAGCTCATCGACTACCCGCGATACCTGTCGCAGCAGGTCGACGGCTTTGTCCTGACCCGTGGCCGGATTGACGAGGTCGTGCCGATCCTCAACTCCGGCATGAGCATGGTTTCGAGGTCCTGGAGCATCACTTCGATGAGCGCGTCACCCCCGCCGCGCTGTCGATTGATCAGGACGAGCTGACCTACGCCGGGACGCGCAGCAGCTTCCGGGTCGAATCGCGCACGCAGATGAGAATGCTGCCAAAGCTGCGTCCTGAGCGTTTCATGACTTCGTCATCCAGGTCGCGACGGGATGGTCCGCCCCGGGTCGATGGCGACTTCACGCCCGCTGAGGCCGACGGGGGATGGCAGGCGATGGCAACCTTCGAGCGCCACGGCAATGCCGACGACTACGGGCAACGCAGATTCGATGGCATGATGTCGCGACTATGACCGGAAGTTCACGGTCCTCTGCTTCCTGCAGATCGAGGGTCTCGGCAAATACTGTCGCCCAGAATCGCACACTGCCTTCAAATTTCGTCGCGGCGATGTCTGCGGCGGTGGCAGAGGGGTCCAGCTGGATGGCATGCTAGCCCTTACTTACAGCGGAAAATGTGTGGAAGTTAGCGGATGGCACACAGCTCCAGCAGGTATGTGCCTCACGGTTGGGGCTTAGCGCGGGTACTTCCTGAGATGTGGGGATGCACGCTAAAATGAAAGTACCGCAAGGTTTGTGGCGCTGCCTGCAGCGATGTTGGTGGCACCGTCAGACTTTTTGGGGTGAAAAATATGACCGTGCGCCTGGAACACCGCTTGAAAGGACCAACGCAACTGAGTGCACCGAAAGTTTCCTTATCTAATTTTCGACGCTGGTCACTAAGGTAAGCTCAGGCGCTTCCACCGCCTCGGCAATCTGGGACGGTTTCAAAAATGAGGCCATCGCCATTTTATGGACGAGCATCGGCCAGAGCCGCCACTATCTGCGAGGCATCAATTCTCGACTTCGCTGTAGGATCCAACATCTTGTAAACAATGTTTTCCACGACATCCGAGGACGCCAGGCTCTCCCTTTCTGCCTGCACAACATCCAACCACTGTATCATCTTCGCTCGCGCTTCGCTGTTCTCGGTCATCACCTCTCGAATCAACCAGCCTCTCATGGTCCGCTCCGGCAGTATCACCTTGGCAAGCACGTAAAGCATCGTCACTCCCAACGCCCATATATCTCCCGGCGCACCTCTGCTCTGCCTGGTAATGAGGTCGGGTGGGATGTACCATGGCGTGCCCCCGAGCATCGCCGGCACGTTCAAGGCCGTGGCAAGCCCGAAATCTAAGAGGACGGCGCCACGTTCCGGCGAGTAGGCGATATTTGCAGGCTTGATATCGTTATGGGCAATGTTTTGAGCGGTGATGTACGACAGGGCTGATGCAACGTCCCGGAGGATCGTCCGCGCCTCGTGGGGTGCGAACGGCGACGATTCGCCGCGGTTGAGGGATCCTGGGAGGCGCTCCACATACATGGCGAAGAGACGGCCGTCGAATGCTTTGAGTGAGATGATGTTCGCGTGATGCAACTTCTCCAGGACAGTCTTCTCCTGCTGCCAGCTCCGGGCGCATTTGACCAGGTCGACGGCCGTCTTGCCGGTGTATCTGATGACTTTGGCGACGACATCAACAGGTAATCCTGAGTGACGGCCGGTGAAGAGACTCGCTGATGGGGTGTCGGCAACTTTTTCGAGTCGGCGCAGGTCGTACATGGCCGAACCCTCAGTGCTGACATCGCCGTGGCTTCTGCGTGGGCCGCGGATGACAGCCACCTCTCCGCGGCCGAGATCCAAAAGAGGTGTGCCCTTGGTATGCACAAGCTGTCTGCTGGCTGTGCGGGTTGAGGTCATCTTAAGCCCGGCATCATCATCAGCCCCATCATCATCTGGGGCTGCGGCAAGCAGGATTTCCGTGATGTCGCCCTCGTGCCTTCGTTTCTTTAGCCTTACATCTTCTGCATCAGCAGCGGATCGCTTCCTAGAACTTGCCAGGGAAAGAGGGGCTTCGTGGATTGTAACGCTGAATTGTCTCCGCAGGATGAGGAAGTCTACAAGGGCTTGCTCGGCGAAGTCTGCGCCATAGGCTACGGATATCCTCCACGTCCCGGGCTGCACCACTCGAGCCTCGCCATTGTGCAATGGTTTTCGGCCTTGATCTGGGCAGATGCCTGTGAGGAGGAAAAGGGCCGTGGACTTATTCACGATGACGCAGTCGTCGCTGGCTGGGTCATAGTAAATGTGACAGATGAGCCGTGATTGAATGAAGCGAGGTGAGGGCGGCAGCGCGGGGTTGTCGTGAAAGGGAATGCATAAAGTGAAGCAGACATCTTCCGTGCGCTGCACCACCCCGACCAAGTCTCGGTGGCTGGTGGTGTGAGGAAGAGGGATGACGGCGGGATCTGTGGTCTTTGGAGGGCGATGGTGAGCGACAATGAGACGCGCGTCGGGGAGCGAGGTGAGCGATGCTCGTCTCAATACCTCATCGAGCTCAGCGATGGATATGGGCGACGCAGATGGAGCATCGACATTTTTCCCTTCTTGGGCGACGGGAACGGGGTGACGGGGTGCGACTGGAAGACCGCTATTCACCGGCGCGGGGCCTGCGGAGTCGTCCGGGCGCCGGTCGGCTGCCGCTTCGTCAAGGCGGCGCTGAAGGTCGGGAGTGTCGCTGAATAGCTGCGTGGATGCGCCGCTCGCAAGGGACATGTTCCAAGTCTTTTAACACACCCATACAGTCGAGAGGGAAGTTCAGGCGAGGGCCTGCATGTGGGAATGCGTGCATCTTGGGCATGATGGGGCGATTGGTCAATTGGTTAACAGGGAGGGTATATGCATATATCCAGGTTGGCAAGCACATTTCAGTGTCGGCTGGGTGGCTGGGTGGCTGGGCACTTCGCTCCACTTTGACCAGGTGCTCTGATAAGATAAGTCTAGGTTCTCTGCGCCACTGGCTCACTTGTGGCTCGGCCGGTTGAAAGTGAGGCTGGCGATGGCGTGGTACTCCACCCTGTCCAATCATGTCTCGCTGACGCCTAGCCGGCAATTTCCGCGTCTCCTACAACGACATTGAAGTTCATTTGCATTCAGCAGCTCTCGTCATCTACCATGCGAATGTCCGCTTCCAAACGCGCAACGCAAAGCAAATCGGTTTCAAGTCCCGTCTATCATTGCATCTGACATATTTTGATACCTCCCGCCGCCGCCGACGAACTCTCACACCCGATCGACCATCTGGCTCGCGACGAGTCTCTCACAAACACACAATGGCCCCTTTCGAACCCCCGGGCTTGACGCAAGCAAAAAACAGGGCATGGAGTAAAGTTGCCAAGGCCGACTTCTGCGATCCAACCATGCTCTGGACAGACTACTGGACCCGTTTCAACACCATCAGCATCCCGATACAGGACGAGGATGCCTTCTTCGCCGACGCTATGGCCGCCGCACGAGTCGCCGAGAACCGCCAGCACCTGGAGGAGATCCTCGAGCAGAAGTCACGCGAACGACGGGCCGAACTCGCCGATGTTGTCTCGAGTATCGCCATCGCCGCCATCTCCCTTCGCACACCCTTCGACACACCCACCGCCCGTTCCGCGGCGCTGAAGGTCGGCCAGACCGGCAGCTTGGACAGTTTCGCGCAGCTCGCGTGTGGCGTTGCATTTTCATGGACCGGTGCGAACCAGAAGGCGGAGAGGGTGAATATCGAGCCGAGAGAGAACCGCGCACCGAGCGCAGAAGCCCGAGCTCAAAGCAAAAACGATACCGATAATGATAGTGACGGAGATGCCGATGAAGACACCCACGATACCCACGATACCCATGATACCCCTGAAGATGACTACGAAGAGGCCTACATGCCCACGAATGACCCTTGGGAGTTGGAGAATGCCTTTCCATCAGATTATGATATATATGAAGCTGCAGCTGGGGACGAATGTGGCTCAGAGTACCACGGCTGCGATCGTCCACGAGTGGTTGAGATAGGAGACAAGGAAGGAATCGAGCCGTCATTCGCGAGCCTGCCATATTCGCATGCCGACGATGCAATATCAGTAGTACACGAGGGGGTCCGACGCCATGGTTTAGATGTATCAGGTGCCGGAAGGCAGGCTGACGAGCCGTCTCGGATAGGCTCAACAACTGCCATCTCGACACCCCTACAGGACGACCAATTTGAACAGATACCAAGCTCTCCATTATCAAACGAGCTGTCCTTCTCCGGCACAGGCTCCGTATCATCGCGACCTCCCTCTCCAATCACGCCTCGCACATCATCCGTCTTCGCAGGGGGTCGGATAGCGAACGACTCAACAACATCACTGCACCCCGAGTCACCCACAATGTTGAAAGCCAATGTGGATGTCACGTCCGATGAGAGGTTGCCCCGCGAGACACAGCCTTCCACCTTAAGTAGGAAGAGGTCATTATCTATTGACTGCAACGGGGATCATGGTATTAGCGATCATCACCGGAAGCGCAGAGCCGTCAGCTGAGCTCTGGACGACTTTCATATTGTGCGATGAAGTCAGGATTAGTGTGACAACACAGATTAATGTATATTCCCTCCCATACTTTCGAGAACCGGGCCCGTATCAATATATCCATCCGCCCAAGAGCGAGAACCCAACGGTAGCATACAGCAACGCGCCAAGTCCTACAGATGTTGGGCCCAGAACGAGTCAGACATATGCTCTTGCTTTCGAGCCTGCTTCAGCCGTGCGAATTACTCACAAGCCGCGGAGGCGATATCAAAATTCAAACTCTCGACAGCGTATGCCAAGGCAATGTCTCGTAGAAGCACGGGGCTTGATCAACCGTCAAATGATGTATGGTGGATATCCAGCTCAAGACGGGGAGCTGCTCCTGCCGGCCGGCAGAGACCCGCCGTGGTGATACTCCGGATTTATTTGTGGAACGATATTTGCGCAAGCATCGCGCAGGATGACCTGCACCGATTTCGGCATATCAAGAAGCTGAACAAACGCTGCGCATGCCATGATGGCTTTGTGAAGATAGGAGAGGTGTTCCGAAAGAGCCTTCATCCATAAGACTGGTTGGTCGAGAGTCATGACGGTGGCGGTGGGTACGGATGAATCTCAACCATCATTTCGGAAATGTTTTCATCTTTGGCCGGACTCTTGCTGCTGCGGATGTTCTCGATGTTTGCCCTCGTTGGGATCAACTTTGTAGAGTACAGGGTGCTCAGCAGTAGCATGTGCCCTACGGGGTCTGCTGGGAAAACTTCTGTCCGTGCGACGCGCTGAACGTGCGCTAAATTTACAGCGCTAAGGGCGCTGTAGTTACTGTACCTCGGAAAGGTTGTCTGCCAGACAGGCTCAAGCCACCCTCAGGGAAAACCCGAACCCCATCGCTCAGCAACCCAATCGAAAGCTGGCTGTGTTTTCGATGACACCGTCTACTGGGAACTTGAGTCTCGCTCTCACCAACTGATTACACTTCCAGTTCAATTCTCATTGCGTGCGCGATGATTGAGCACCAGGTCCAAGATCAAAACGCGTCCTGACGGACAACCAATGGCTGGCTATTTTCGATCCCTCGGTCGCGTGACAACCAGGCCGATACCCCAGAGCTAATCGACGCACGCTCCGTTGTTCATCTTGAATCCAAACATCGTCATCTGAAACATGATAGTCTTTCGTACAAGGCCATTGACTTGACTCTCGAGTCATGATGCCGAAGAAGGTAGTCCTTGCATGATCGATGTGCCCCTTGAGTGATTGCTGATGCTGCCGTATAGCTGGGCTCCAGAGAATGATAGTCTTGTCCTTCGACGCTGATGCTACCAGCATGCTGTCCCCGAGAGAGACACGGACCTGACGCTATCACCGTGGCCCTTGAGTATCTGAAGACAGTCGCCAGTAGTAGCGTCCCAAACCTTCAATGTCTTATCGTCCGACGCGGACGCTAGATACAAGCTGTCCTTCGAAAAGGCCACCGACCAAATGAGGTCACTATGTCCCTCGAGTGTCCGTATACATTGTCCACGAACAACATTCCAGATCTTCACAGTCTTATCCTTAGACGCCGAGGCTAGTCGTTTTCTGTCGCCTGAGAAGGATACCGAGTGCACGCTGTCGCCATGGCCATTCAGCGTCTTGAAGGGTCTTCCTGAACTTGGTTTCCAGAGCTTGACAGTCTGATCTTCCAATCCTAATGCAAGCAAATCCCCATCGCGAGAGAGTGCGACTGAGAGAAACCTAAACTTAAGACCATCAAGTGTCCAGTGGCATTGACCATCGTTCACGTCCCAAACCTTCACAGTCTTGTCATCAGAGGCTGATGCAAGTAAGCTGCTATTAACAGAGAATGCTACTGCGTCGACGTAGGAACCATGCCCTTTAAGCGTCTGAAGACAGGTCACTGAGTTAACGTCCCAGAGCTTCACAGTCTGTAAACTGGCGTTTGTTTGGAGGCCATGTAATCTCCCAGAGCTTCACAGTCTTGTCGTCAGAGGCGGACACAAGCTGACGCCCATCTGAAGACAAGACCACAGACCTGAAAAAGCCATGATACTCTCTCAACTTCCGTAGACAGTGGTCCTTTGCCAATGTCAAAGTAAACTGGCGTTTGTCTGGAGACCATGTCATCAGACCAGATAGACCGCTATTGCTGAAGCTCTTTCTATCTGACACTGGTCAGTCGCCACATCCAGAACCTTCACAGTCTTCTCTTCTGAGGACGATATGAGCTGATAACCATCCAAGGAGAAGCCGATCAAAGTAATATGACTGGAATATAATTTCTTTATCTGTTCGTGTCGGTTTGAAGTGACTTCGAAGAATGTGACAGTCTTATCACGGGATGCCAATGCTAGTCGAGTCTGGTCTTGAGAAAAGACTATCAATGCGACCTGAGAGCCATTACAGCGTTCGAAAGTATGAAACATTCGTCTGCGCTGGCGTTCCATATCTTTACAGTCTGGTCCTTGGACGCTGATGCGAGCTGGATATTGTCATGAGAGAAGGTTACCAAGTGTACATGACCTTTGTGACCTTTGAGAGTCTGGGTTGCCTTAGTACCGACGGTCAAAACGTCGATGCTCTCATCGTCTGACACAAACGCAAGCTGGGAATCATCTGAGGAAAACACCAACAGATCCGCATGGGCGCCAGGCCCTTGAAGGATCTGAAGAGGTCTTCCCGTAGTAGTGTCCCATATTCTGATCGTGTTGCCTTTAGAGGCCGACGCAAGTTTGCGTCCGCCTGAAGAGAACTTCATTCTGGTGATAAAGTCTCTGTGGCTGTAGAGGTCACGTTGGGCTGTGCATCGATATGCATCCCAAATTTTGACGGTCTTGTCGTGTGATGTTGACACAAGCCGGGTCGAGTCCGAAGAGAAAGCAGCTAACGAGATAGAGTCACTATAGCCCTCAAGATATCTCCAAATATTGCCGTTAGCTATGTGCAGAACCTTGATGATATTATCTAGCGTTAATACCAGATATTTGCCGTCGCTAGAGAAGTTCAATAACCTGCCATGAATACCCTTCATCCATACTTGCTTTCCTAAGTTAATATGCCATAACTTAACATTATCATCAATTAAGGCAGAAGTCCGTTTAGAGAGAAGGCAATCGAAGTAACCAAGCCGCTATGGCCCTCTAGTATCAAACCACAATTACCTGTTTTAGCGGTCCAGACCTCGATAGTCTGATCCCACGACACTAATGCCATGCGAGACCCTTGCAGAGAGAACGATAATAAATCAATTCTTTAATATTTAGAGACACTTTCCCGTGGTGAAATTCCCAAGTCTGAGCAGTTTCAGCTTTAGCTGTTGCTAATTTCAACTCGTCCTCGAAGAAAGTCACCGACCAGACTATGTCTTTATCATCTGACAGCAGGGTCATGATCAAATCTCTGACTCCTTGCACAAGCTTTACGGTGTCTGGCTTTGGTGCTAGGGTCGATGACAGCGTAGCCGAAGATAAGTCTAATGGGAAGGAGTCGATGTAGCTCTCGATGGTCCATAGGCATCGCCCCGTGGTGGTGTCCCAGATTTTTGACGTTGTGGTCAGATGCCGATGCTAGCCGCTTGGCATTGTTGGAGAAACAGAGTGACTTGACTGGCACGGCATGGCCTTTCAAAGTCAGCTGATGTTGTCCCGTGAAAGTGTCCCAGAGCTTGATTGTCTTATAGTCCGAGGCTGATGCAATCTGACGATCATCCGGGGAAACCCTCACGAATTTAACGGGTCCACTATGACCATCTAGCGTCTACAGGCATACACTCCAATCCTCATCCACTATCGGGTGCGTTATCCACTTTGGCTCTTGATCTTTGAACAACCGCCTGGCCACGCTATTCTTTGGACTGAACACAAATGCGGAGTTATCAATCTGGAGGGGCTATTCTTCGATTGTTGCCCAGTGGTGTCTCATAAATCGCAGTGCATATCGGACGAGTTCTTCAAGTTGTATGGCTTCTCCCTGCGACTGCGGGATTAGGTATCGTTTCTGAATGGATAACTCGAAACCTCACTTGGATCAGAGACAAGAGCATCGATAACATGTGAGTACCGCTTAACAGGTTTCTTGTCACGCTCAGGGCTTCCATCAGTAGAGCAAGCAACCCTTGAGAAAGCATTGCACAGCATCGTTGCATTTCTCTGCGTCTACTGCCTCCACCAGCTACGTGGTCGACCCTATTCAGAATCCAATATTCAAATTACACCAACTTATTCTCTTCAGCCCTCATCGATCTGTTGTCTATATATCGAATTGAGACTTTAGCATTAAGAATTCTCAACATGTTCCGTTGCAGCACGTTTTGCATTCGACGCGTAGCTCGGATGGCTAGTGTGTGGTGAAATTCTGCGACAGAAGTTCTAGACAGAGATTTGAGAAACCGTGTAAGGTAATATTTAGCTGATTGGTGAACAAGGAAGACACAATCTTCTTGATCTGAGAGGAAAGCGCCGCATTTTGCATTGACTTGAACGCTATCATCTCCACTAACTATCTGGCTACTGCAACATTGATCTGATTCCCTGCTGAGCTAGAGGCCGATATGCGACAGTCGCCATTTGAAGAACCTCTCTGCAATGATGGAAATCGGTCGATACATTGGCTTGTTTAAAAAGGCGCGCCGAGATATTTTCATAGAAAGACTCTAGGCCATTAGGGGTTTTCTTAAGCATGAACATCATATCCACTATGCTGTTCGCTTTTCCAGTTTAGCCAACGACAAGACTGGCCCAGGAAACGTTGCCACCAGCCCTTTTTTTTTTATAGGTTTGATCGCAGATCCTGTCTCGCAAGTCCGTATCCTAGAACAACAGCATAGGCAGGAGCTTGCGGTGAACGAATTCCCTAATAGCTTGGTCAATATAACCCTCTTCCTTCTGCAGGTTCAAGGTCGCCACTGAAGATACACACATCAGCCGTTCCTTAATCTCACGTTCGTATTAACTGGATACAATCCATTCTATACTAAAGTGAGCGACGCATTTGACGATGAAGTCGATCAGCTCCTATTAGCCTATAACGCACTCGTCCAAAGCGTCGATAACCAAGTGGCAGTTCCTCAAAATAAGGTCCCTGAGCATATTAGCAAACCAGCCTTCAAGTTCGCGGAAACCACTAAGACCCTCAGGCAGCTGGTCAACAGGATATCCATGTGATATTTCGAAATAATGGGACAAGTTAGGATGTCTTTGAACCAAGCCACGTGCTAAGCCTTCCAAGACAGCTATAGCGTGATTCGATTGTGAGTCCATGTTCTGGCAGAAAGAGAATGAATAATGGTTTGGTTGTTTCAGTAGCTCGTCGATAATGCCACACACTAGCATGGTCTTACCCTTGTCAGCATCGCCCCTAATCCAGAGAAGTCGGCACCTATCGTCACGTTGTATGCCCTTGAAACCCTCGTGTTTCAGGACCCATTGGTATGCCTCCTGGATGATGCCGCCTTTCCTTTTCTCAATGTTTCTCTTGCTTTCCCGAGGGTCGGTGGACGGAAGAAAGGGAGATGTTGAGGCATAATGATTACGAGTTATCTTGGGGCCGATGTGTGCTTGGGAGTTACCATTAGTGGTCAACGTATGAACCCAGTTGGCGAGGGATTCGAGGGATAGTTAGCCATCATTGTCGGTTATGGGTTTGAACTGGATACTTCTCAGTAAGATGGGAAATGGTTAGAAGAATCTCTCTTTTGGTGTGTAGAGTAGCGCCCTGAGAACTTCAGCTGGCCTTCGCTGGCACCAGAGTCACCAACTATATTTCATCAGCCCCATCCCCTCTTCTTCTCCTGACTGTCCTCTTCAACCACTGGTCATTCGCGAATTCTCCTTCCTTTCTCACTGCCAAGCCGGCACAATTCATTATGCTTATCAGTACATCCCTGCTTATATATTTATAGGTGCCTTGTGTAAGAATCCACTAGCGACATATGGGCGTTATGCTCTGAGCCCTAGCTGCAGCTTCAGCCTGTCCCTATATGCTAGTTAGTGAATAAGTGGAGTTGTGAAGGGGGCTTGCACGTCTCCTAAAACTAATACCTCCCTCTGTATAGCTAGATAGTAGTGATATAATGCTCATAGATTTATAGCAGTGTTATAGTTAGCTATCTAATAGTAGGGTCTACTAATAGAAGCTAGGGATTAACACGTTATAATAGTATACTAAGGTCGTAGTCTAAGTTATAGGTTATAAGCTATAGTAGATTAGGTCTTTTAGAGACTAAAGTGATTAATCTTAGACTTAATAAGTGATTCGCAATAAGGGTAAGCTAAGAGTATCTATAAGGATAAATACTAAGTTAATTACTAAAGAGCTATAGAAGTTTAATTTTAAGTCTAATTTATAGTTATATTATATATAAGTCCTAAATAGTCTCTCTATTCTAAAACTAATAAGATCTAAGTAATCCCTAAAGGTAAACTACTATCTTTATATTAGTCCTCTTATTAGATTACTTATTTTCTATTAGTCCTTCTTATTATTATATAACTTATATTATAGTTCTTCTATTCTATATAAGTCCCTATTATTCCTATAATTCTATAGTATAAATATCTTATCCTAGTTACTTAATACCTAATAGGTTAATTAACTATTATCTATATATAATAAGTTATAATATTAGGTCCTCTCTCTATAGGTCTTATCCTTAAGACCTAATATAAGTAGGTTATTAGTCTTAGGTTAGGGATCTATTAATTATACTTCTTAATTTACTTATAATATTAACACTATATTAGGTTATATTTAGAAATTAAAAAAGAAGTCGCCTACTATTAAACTTAAAGATTATAAGCGTAAAGCTTTAATTAAATATATTAATTCTTATTCCCTACTTAGTAATATACCTTATATCTATTACTTTTAAGCTAAAATTCTTTACTATTTTAATAAGAAGTTATCTTAATATTATATATATATTAAGGTGAAGAAGCCTTATAATAGTGTCCTAGTAGCTTTAACTTATATAGTAGCTTTTTTAGTTCTTTTTTTTTTTTTTTTTTAAGTAGCTAATTTACTTTTTTATAGTATAAAAGTTAAATAAGTAGTANTTTTTTTTTTTTTTAAGTAGCTAATTTACTTTTTTATAGTATAAAAGTTAAATAAGTAGTAGAAGAAGTAGGATAAGAAGGAGGAAAAAGCTAATAAAGAGCTACTTATACTTTATTAGGGGTTTACTTATTTATAGACTTAAATAGCTAAAACTACTAATTACTTAAGCTATATTTATATAACTAGGAAACTAATAAGGGAATACTAAACTAAGACTTTTAAATAGAGGATATAGGAGATTAATAAGGAGGATAGTATACTTCTAGTATTAGATACCTATAAGAGGTAGGTAGTAAGTAACCTTTAAGCTATTAGGGTACTAAATAATCTTTAGTAGTAGGAGTTTAGACTTAGTTTAGACTTTATTAAACTTAGTCCTTTAGTTCTTAATACTAATAGTACTCTAGTATTATCTTAGTTTATTTCTAGTATCTCTAAGTAAATAGATATATTTTCTTATTATATTAGTCTAAGATATCCTCTTAGTTATACTTATATTAATAGGAGTTATATCCTTTATTTCTTAGCTTCTCTTTATTTCTATTATATTTCTTTTTATATTTATTTCTCTTTTTTATTAATATACTTTATATATTCCTTAAATTCTTCTAAGGTTATAAATAAGCTTAATCTATCCTAAGGATTAATATAATTAAGTATCCTAATATACTTATTAATTTTATCTTAATACTTAAATAAGTTATTATTAAGTTTCTATATATTATCTTTATATCTATAGTTTTTCTACTTAATAAAGTATTCCTATTTATTATCTCTATACTAGTAGTTAAGTAATTTTTCTATTTTATATTCTAGTTTATTATCTTCTATAATAATAAGGTTATTTATTTATAATCCTCATAGTACTAACTTAAGAAGTAAAATATAGAATACTAAGTAATACTTTATAGTTTCTAAGAATTTAAGTTTATAATTAACTAGTAAGATAACTTATAAGATTTTAAAAGGTCTAAGTTTTTTATAGTTAAGTTTATTACTTAGTTATTTTATTTTAATATTTTACTATATAAGGTAAGTACTATCTCCCTCTTTTAAGGTTAATCCCTTAATCCTTTATTTATTACTAAATTTTAATATTTATTATTAGATAAATTTAAATTCTTTATATATATTATCTTAGATATCTTTAATTTATTATACTAAGGTAGTAGCTTTAACTATAGCTAGGCTTATTTAAGGTTCTCTATAGGTAATTAGTTTAAATCTATAATTAAAGTAGAAGGGGGATTCCTTAGTACTTTCTCTAATTATACTATTATAGGTAAACTAAGCGATTAATAAAAGTATAACCTAATTATTTTAATTATAGTTAATATAGGCGTAGAAGTAGGTTTTAAAGATTTAATTAATTTATTCTATTTATCTATTAGTTTATAGGTAGAATATAGTAGATATTAATTATTTAATATTAAGTTATACTATAATTAACTTCTAAAACTTAGAAGTAAAGATTTTATCTTTATTTAATATAATCTCTTTAGGTATACTATAATTAGTAATAATATACTTAAGGAAAGTATATATATATTCTTTAGTATTACTTACTTCTTTATATAGGATAAAGTAGGTATACTTTATAAGTTAGTTTACTATAATAAGAATACTATTAAAGTGTACTCCTATAAGGGGTTCTTATAACTTTAGTAGTTTAATAATAAAGTTAAAAGATATAGATTACTAAGTAGTTTATAGTATAGGTAAAGGTTATAGTATACTATAAGGTTAGTATTAAATAGGTTTACTTTTTAGGTATATCTTATAATTCTTAATTATTTTTACTATATATTTTTTTATAACCTTTTCTCTATATTATTATTATAGTTATTTCTAGGTTTTTATAATTCCTTAGTAACTATATATAAGGCGTATATAAAATTCTATAATTACTTTATTATTTAGTTTATTAGTTAGGCTAATATTAGATTATCTAGCTATTATTAGGAGTTTAGCTACTAATATTAGGTTTTTATTATCTTATTATTTAAGAATTACCTAGGTCTCTTTAGGTATTAAGATATTATAATCTAATTATTAGCTAAGAGTATCTACTCTACTATTATCTAATCTTTTTTAATAGATTATTTAGAAATTAAATTCTAAGAGGAATTCTAACTATTAGATTTATTATTTATTAAGTACTTTTAAGGTTATAAAGTATAAGAGATTCTTATAATTTAAATATATAAATACTTTATGAATTATTCTTAAGAGTTTAAATCTCTATTTTTTAAAAGCTTTAATAATTACTATAAGCTCTTTATTATAGATTTAGTAGTTNCTCTATTTTTTAAAAGCTTTAATAATTACTATAAGCTCTTTATTATAGATTTAGTAGTTAAGCTTAAGTTTATAGAGCTTATAAGAGAAGAAGGTATAGAGGTATAGTTATCCTTTTAGGTTTTATTATAATAGCTATACTCTAATTATATAGTTAGATATATTAAGCTCTATTTTAAACTATTTTATTAGATCTAAGATTATTAAGATAGGTTTATTAGTAATAAGGTTTTTAATCTTCTAGAATACTATCTATTATAGTTCTTTCTATATAAAAGGTATATCTTTATAGCTAAGGCTAATAAAAGCTATATTAATCTTATTATAGTTTTTAATAAACTTATAGTAGAAGTTAATAAAACTTAGGAATCTTTAGACTTCCTTAAAATTATTAGGTATTAGCTATTCCTTAATAGCTTTAATTTTATTTTCTAATATATAGACTTTCTTAGGGGTAATAGTAAATCTAAAATATTCTACTTTTTATATATAAAATTTACTTTTTTTAGGTTTAACTAAGAGTTTAGTTTTTTAGAGGGCTTATAAGATATAATAAATATCTTCTTTATACTTCTTAAATATAAGTAAGAAAATAAGGATATTATCTTATTACGACCTATTATATATAGATAATAGTGACTAACCTACTTAGGCAGCAGGTAGCTAGAATAGGATATTTATACTATAGAATTAATAGGGATAATAAGGACTTACTTAGAATAGAAGAACTATAGTATAAGTTATATAATAATAAGGAGAATAATTAGTAGAGTATAAGAAGAAATGCTTAGTGATTAATTAGTATTACTAACTGATTATAATTACTTATATACCTAGGTGATCACCTAAAAGTAGATAAAGGATATTATTTAGGACTTATATATAGTATAACCTAGGCCTCACTTAAGGTTAGATTTCTATAGTTCTTTAGTAATTAACTTAGTATTTATCCTTATAGATACTCTTAGTTTACTTTTACTGCGAATTACTTATTAAGTTTAAGACTAATCACCTTAGTCTCTAAAGACCTAATTTACTATTAACTTATAACTTATAACCTAAACTATAACCTTAGTGTACTATTATAATATATTAATCCCTAGCTTCTATTAGTAGACTTTACTATTAGATAGCTAACTATAATATTTTAATTACTCTTATTTAGTAAGTTAACTATTAACACCTA